CCTTGATGGCACTTCTCTGTCTGCGATCACTTTTGAATGCCCTGTATGAGCCACTGCAGGCACACATTTTATGGAAGATCCTAAGTACAAATGAGCAGAAACCTGTTGAGTTTGGAGAGGAACAGAAATCCAGGTACCCAAGCACAGAGGCACAAGAGCATCTCAGGAACGTGACTGTAAGAAGTGGCTGAACCACTTTAGTCGAAGCTTTCCAGCAACAAGCAGGAGGCAAGCCTCTGACGGAGAGACTTGCGGCCAAAGTGGTTCAGTTGAACAGTGTTATAAAGGACTGAAAAATAGTCCTGCAATAGGATACGTCAGACAACCTCACCCGGGGGTGCACCGTGAGCTCCACCTGTAACAGTGCCTTGTGCGGCTTTGCCTTGCTTCACCGTCAAACACAAAACACCAATCTTTGACAGAACCAACAGCGTTAAAATCCAGATCTGGCGTTTGTTTCTGTCCTTGGTTTATACAGGAACCAGAGCGTCACTTAAAAGCTTTGACGTTCTGCTCCGACGTAAAATGGAAATGAAGATTTGGTCGTCCTTTCCCCTCGTTTGCTAGCTAGGAGGAACATCTGGGAGCTACGCGCGTTGAAGTGCCACGTTGTGCCACTTCTCATTAGTGTCATTTAGCAACAGCACAATCTAAAATAGGGGCGGGAAGGGGTTATTTCAGTCATTTACAGGACGGTGTCAGGTGGAAGGCTCCCACCTCTCTTCATTTGACACTTCTTGCTGTTTTATACCTTTGAACACTAAAACTCAGATTATTGTGGGTCTGTGAAGAAGCTGTGGCATTTCTCAAGCCATTCATTTGTTCTCATCCATGCAGAGAGACTGCCAATCTCTCATTTGTTTCTTTTTATTTTTCCCATTTTTCTTTCTCTGGGATGGAGTTTAAACTTTAAGCGCCTGGGTCGGGGTTTGTGCTTTCTTAGCGTGGCAGAGCACTGGACACCGAGCGCTCTGTTTTGGACAGCTTGCTTACTGCGGTCTTCTGGCATCGCCATCTTCAGTCTGCTCGGTTCGCTCGAGGAGCGGCGGGTACTTTTGCACGGCTCTAACCAAACAATCTGGCTGCCAGATTAACCACTCGAAATAAGAGGAAAAAGTAGCATTATATCATGCTACTTTTTCATATGTGGTAATTTGGTGTCCTGCCACAAAATCAAGGCACCAGATGTTCACTTAGCCACTAGTCCGGAGTTGCGGGGCTTTGCTCTTCAGAGCAAGATCCTGGGCACGTTCGCTTGCTGGCTTTCGTATTCTGTGATCCATTAAGGGTGCTTTAAAAAGCTTTGCTTGCATGCAGCGCTCAACTCTCAAGACACTTATTGAGACCATCAGAAAGACGTCTTCTGAATTATTGCATGAAAAAAGTTTGATGCACGGAAGTTGTTTGAAGGAAAGCTCCTCTCCTATAGCCAGTCCACGTGCAATCACAGCTCTTTTTTCCCCACATGCAAAACATATAAGGAAAAAGCACTGAGATGTATAGCTTTTTTTCATTCCATCGTTAGCCTCTTTCTACCAACTGGATATGAATGTTTCCTTGTAATCGGGATTTAGTCCCAAGGGGACAGTACTTCCCTTGCCACATCACAGTACTCGGAGCAGGCCAGATTTATGCCCAGACTGATGAAACAGAAATAATCAGGAATTGTTTAACATTAATCCTCTCTTCTTTGATCCAGTCCCTGGGAACCGACTGCAGTAAAAGAAGCAGTTCCACACTTCAGCTGATGTGCGAGGTGCACATCCACCACACCACTCCCTTTTCCTGGGAAGGTGAGAGGATACTCAGATCCCTTTGGGCCCATCAGCACCCTTGCTCTGCTCAGGACACTAAGACCTGGGTTTTTGGAACAGATTTTAAGGCCTATCACAGTCATTTATTATTTTTCCTGCTTTGTTAGTGTCTCACTTAATTGCCTAAAGGAGGGCTGCCACACACACAGCTACATTTTTTTCCCTCAGGACAAAGAAGGAACTTAGTCCAGGAAGCTGATAACAGTTCTCCGAGCCAAGAATGACCAAATTGCAGTCTTACTGCCCCTTTGCTCCAGTTTCCCTAGCAGGAAAGCGAGGGACACACCACTTAATATAGGGCAGAAAAAAAATAGCTTAGGTTTCTTTGAACAACCGTTCACATTTCTGGAACTTAGCTTCATATTTCTTTAATTACTGAATAGTATTTGCATCTAAAAGTGGACCAGGTTCTTACGGGATAGAAGTGAACGAGCCTAGAAGCAAGGGGCAAGTTGCCTACTAACATTAACAAAAAATAAACCACAAACGCTAGATGGAGAATACCATACTTCATACAGGTAGGTATTTAAAAGGACAGTCAAGTGAACTGTAGTAAAGGAGGTGTTTTTGGTGTAATGCTTTTTACGGCTGGTGGGAATTCAGTTTGTACATCATGATTTGTAACCAATCATGTCAAACACTGATGTTTTAAAATAAAGGAGAGGATGCTGATTTCTCAGCAGTCATTATAGGCACGAGTAGGTAAGGACTCCTACCTGTTTTATAAACTATAAGAGGCAGTTATAGGGCTATGCAGACAGGTTGGCACTGAGGACTGAGGCTGAAAAGGCTGATAATCGGCAATTGGAAACCAGCACGAGGACACAGCTAAACGCAGGACAATCCAGTGGTCACCCCCACAGCCTTGAAGGACTGTAAGACAAGTTAGCATGGGGCCACTGTTAGTTTAACAGCCCTCACTTTTAAAGGAGACAAATAAAACTTGTACTTTTGCCTTATCCATCTCACAATAAACTTAGAGCAGTGCCGGGTGTAGATATGAGGCTGCCTCTGCCAGACTGGCTCCATTTCATGTAGCGTGTTTCGGCCATGTGAATTTTGTGTGCTTATTTGGAAGAGAAAGGGGAAAAAAAAAATCCCCAATGCTGTTGTACAAACGGGACTGGGAAATATCTGGGTAAGAACAGTAGAGATAAGCTTATGCTGGACAATAGTTTGACATACTCCAAATTAAACAAAAATGGGCTTGAAAACAGTTTTTAAACATGTCAAACTCAATCTTCATCAGATCTGGCCCGGGCAAAGAAAATGCTAGTTGCTGTGTCTCAAGAAAATGGTAACTCCACGGGATGGGCACAATCCAGCAGTAAATAACATGGAGGAACAGAGGAATGCGTCTCTGCTCGTGACATTGCACACTCCGAACGCCTGGGAAGTTGGACTTCGGGAAGGAAAAAGCCCACGCACGCGTTAGTCATAGCAACATACCGTACGTATCACATAACGCGACTCCCCCAAAGGGCTCGGCCCCGCTTCACAACCACCACTGTTCAGCCAGCACCAGACAGACGGCTTACTTGCTTCCTTGAAGGTAAAAAACAAAAATCGCAGAGCACGTGCACGTTTGTGCTTCTCCACATAGGACACATTTAGAGACGCATGTACTTCCACGTAGGTCAGAAATGGAGGCAAAACGTTGAAAGGCAGTAACCTGACTTACTGCCCACAGATCCACAAAAGCAGCCATAGGATGTGCTTGACGCAGGCCTCCGCAGACATTTCTTGTAGAAATCAAAAAGATGATAATCTCCTTTCCCACAGGGAATCCTGGACAGAGTCCAAGCTCCATCTCCAAAATCTGCTAAATTGGGAACACATGCAATGGAATCACATCATGTACTAGGTTCAGGGTTGTGCTGGTGACCACTACGAAAAAAATCGGGGGAGGTTGCAAGCAATTCTTTTTGCAGCTTGACACGCTTTTGCTTTCCTTTACACCAAGAATGACCAGGTCTCGCTGGAGATGAAACTGAAAACCTTTTTATAGTAGAAAACCTGTCATAACAAAGGCTTAGTTTTGCTAGAAAAGGGGGATCAAACACAGCAGCATCTTAGTTATGGTAGGATGACGCTTGTTCTTTCTTTTTGACCGTTAACATTGCCTTTGCATCTTTCGTCCCAAAGAGCTATATGGATTCCCTATAAAAACCACTTCTCTGAAGAGCCCACACCATCCTAGCTGAAACATCAGGCTAGGGAAAGCAGAATCAGTGAAGTCTGGCCAGGACAGTACAGGGAGTCTTGTACTAAGTACTGCTGCGCCTGTACTGCAAATGGGTCCAGCTCATTCATGTTCTTATTCCTGGCTAATAGCTCAGACAACACCGCAGCCTCTGCTAATACCTGCCGATTCAGAGAATGGCATTTACAACCACCTGGGTTACCTTGCAGGCCAACATCATCTCTGCACATGATATGTGGCTGTCTCATAGCCGCGACGTGGCTGCAGCGTGTACACTTCAGAGGTAGGCATGTCTCTCTCGAATCAGCAGGGCAAGAAAAAGAAAAATCATGCCTAACATTTCGCCTTTTTCTGATAAAGGTAGCAGCTCACTTGTCTTCTTAAGCCTCATGATTTGCAGAGGGATTAAGTTTTTTGGGGAGGAGCGAGATTCATGCTACAGCTTCCACATTCCTCTGGGCTACTCTAAGAACAAAGGCAAGCAGCCCTCCTTGTGAATCTGGTTCAGAGCCATGGTACATCAAGCATCCTATTGCTTTGCTTGTCCTTAAATCAAGCAACCTTTCCCAACGGTATCTTCTAATGGACGGTTCGGTTTTAATGCCTTTCTTTGTTCTCTCTGCCCTCTTCCTCCCCCCCCAGTGACTAAAGTATCAGTGCAGAACAGCAAAAGTCACAGCATCACAGACATTCACGCTAGCTTGTTAGTTTGGCCTGATTTAGATCAAAGCATTTCCACAGTGCTCAGTCATCACAGTATTTGAGTGCCTGTAGTATGCATGAGATGGTGTGTTTGTACTCATCTTCCTCCTGGGTGGGAGGAGAGCCTTGGCAACTACCATTGAGAAGATAAAGCAGCACGGCTTGTTGATCTGCTGGTGTTTTGACTCCAAGGGCCGTTTTGTGGGTCACTAACACCTTTCCCCATCTAATAAAACTGCATGCAGATAATTTAAAATAAAAAGAGAACAAAGCTATGCCGGTCACTTAAGAAAGTGTTTATTCAAAAGCTTCATAGCACCATCTATTTGTTGAAAATATCCAAATAAAATGCAGTAATTAAAAACAGTTTTGCTTGAGCATCACATTCTTTGACTCTTGCCTATGAACATATTTATGGTTGTTCTTGGTAATCTTATTGAAAAATAACGCTGCCACAGACCCGATACCGATTCTGGGGTGTATTAAGCACATTGAGGAAAAGACTTTCTTCCCCTTGTGCTGCAAGAAAGGTTTTGAAAAGTTCCTCTGAGGAAAGTGCTGCCTTCTCAGAGCTTGTCTGCTTAAGACCCGCTCCTGACGTACAGCAAAAAAACCAAACACCGAAATGCCTCTAAGGAAAGCAAGTGCTCCTTTTAAATATTTGTTTTATGGTAAAAATGAAAAAGAAGCAGGGACATTTAGTATTTAAGTATTTTACTTATTTGTCCTAATACCACTCAACTACTTTTGCTAAAATATGGCCATCTATCCAACCCTTCTTTGTAGACCGCTGGTCAAAACCAGTTCTACGGAGTTATGTCGATTTTATTAAAAACATAGCAAGATTTTAAAAAAATTCAAACCACTATTGAAAGCACTTTAAATCAGTATCATGAAGTTTTTCTCCTTGCAGAGTAGCCCGTCTTAGACCTTTTTGTTCGGCCATCCAATTAAGCGCTATTTCCCAAGAAGATCCTTAGCATACATATCAAGACTTATGGACCAAGTCGAGTACTTTGGTCGCATGAACATTTGGCTATGGCTTTCAACCAGTAGGATTCTCTATTGCATCTACTTCAGGAGGCAAATACTTTGAAGTTCACTTTGCTAAAGCACCCATGGGGTCCCAAGCTGGCAAGATAACGGGAACCTGTTGCATCACTGCCAAGACGTCCTCTGGCACGTGTTTCTTATCCACCACGACTTCATACACATACTCAGAAAACCAGTCATCAGTCATGAGCAGGTAACCTGGAAACGAAAACAGGAGTTTTAGTTACGAAGGAAGAAACGCAGTTGATCTAGGAAGGCTTGATCCCATGCTGAGAGGTATGACACATCTATCAGAAACTTCACCATATTTTCATAGCATCTTTCAGTCGTTCACAGCAGCCAACTTTGACTTTATCTTTGTGAAGAAACCTCAAACTTCCCTGGTTTGGGGGAATAACAGGGTAATTTCTTTTCTCAAGCCCAAAGCCAATCTCTCTCTGGCCAAAATAAGTTGTGAGGACAAACCATACCTTGTAATTCCAGTTTTCCCTCTATATTAAAAGCTCTTGCTGGGAAGTCCCAGTTGAAGAGCCTTCAAAGTGGCATAAGAAAAGTGCCTACATCTAGAACATCTCTTCTTCTGGTATAAAACTGCTCCCTTGAGCCAATTAGCTCCCCCCTTCTGGGTAATTCAAGGGGAACTGCAAATATGCACCGTCAGGGAAAGGGAGGAGGTGCCTTTGGTAGAAGACAGATGAAGAAGCTTTGTGTAATAAAGTTCCTCTTGTCCCTGTAACAATATCATCACACAATCAAATGAAACAAGAAAATGCCCAAAGAATATGGACAATAAGCTCATCTATCTATACCATCTTGTTTGTAAAGCAAGAGATCAGATTGAATTCCCATAAATTAAAAAGCCTATCAATTGTAATCCAGCCTAAGAGCCATTCTGGAAGTACTGCAAGGGGAGCCGTCTTGATTACTCTCTCTCTTCAGGATATGAGTTCCTTGGGGGACAAAAACCTCTCACTCCCGACAGCCAACAAGTAATTGCACCTTGAGAGGATAATGAACTCTCTGCCTCGGTGACTGTTGCCATTCTGCCTGACGGCGCCGATTAGGATCGTGATGTCTGAACGAGGAGGAAGTGCCAAGTACAACTTCAGCACATGCAAGTAAGGAGGAGTGCTGTTCGAGACCCTGGCTACAGGCCTTCTCGGCGAATGCGGTATCGTTTTCTTCGTTAAGAGAAGTTGGGCACATGCCTTTGGGAATGCAATGCCTACACCCAAGTAGGTTGCCCCGACACAATCGTGGCCTCTGCGGTCCAGCTGAAGGGGTGAATGGAAGCAGGAGGGGGAGTCTGTTGTATTTTGGGCAGAAGCGACGGTGGAGTCCCACCTGGACCCAGCAGTCTAGCGATTCCATTTTAGCTGCCCAGAAGTTGATGAAAATGAAGAACAGGAAACGAGAACTCCCGAATTGTCCCTTCGTGTTCTGACAAGTGCCCAGTCGTGCAGGACTCCTCACGAATACCTTTGGAGCAGACGATGCTGTGCGAGTAGAAGATTATGCTTTAATTTCCTAGGCCACTCCTCGTTTCTCAGACTTCTCCCACCAAGGAGAGTCTATTGAAGGCAGCATTGATAACGTACGAGCAGCTAGCAAAGCAAGGATGGTTCAGAGGCTGAGCACTAGTGAAGGACCTGGGAGATCAAAGTTCAAGCCCCTGGTCTGCCACAGATTTCCTCTGGGACTTTGGGCAGATCACTTGGCACTTCTGCCTGCTAGCTTGCCCAGGACACACTGCGCTAAAGATACTCCCCTGCCAGGGAGTAAACAAATTAAGGATTGCAAGCTGATCCCATACGCCAGTAAAATTCCTAGGAAAGCAACGGGATACGGCTGTCATCAAGCAGCCGGGAGAAGAAGAGTCAAAAGGGGCGACAGCCTGACAACTGTTTGTGCGCTGCTAGCTGCGGATAAGAAAGCCTCCTCCTGCCAGAACACACAGAAGGACCCCTGTCGAACGGATGTGTTAATTGATTCATTGTTCACCTTTGAAGACCTCTTCCTTGCTTTTAAAAAGACAGCTTATTGGATAAACCGGGTTCAAAGTTAGGTAATCCTGTACCGATTCCCCAGGACGCACAAAATAAGCAGAGCGACTGAACTCGCCTGGAGGGTTATAACATGCCAGTAAAATATAGAATGGATTTCTCTCTCTCGAAAAGGGATGTTTACCTAAAAAAAAAAAAAGCGGTGCGTGTCAACAGCCGCACTCACTCCTTGGAAAACTTTTTGTGAATCCATGCTGTCTTTTTCCAACAGGGATTCTTGTAGTCACTGAATATTTCGGAGAGGCCACATCCGCTGTTCCAAGGGCTGCCCCCCCACCCCAGACAGATGCCTAACTTGGAGCAGATAGGGGTTTCAATATCCCCTTCCCAACCGCTGCACTGCGCAGGACCCCCCTTTGGGGAGAAGGCAATCATCAGCACTTCATTCCTGGTGGTTTTTATTTTTGGCGCTAGCTTCGCTTCCAGCACTACCAAATGGAGGAGAGCAGGCATGCCGTCTCCCACTGTCCTATGCCGTATGCAGAGCCATGAAAGAGGAGCCCCGAGAAGGCCGAACGAGAAATGCCTGTATCCCACTGCCACCATACTCTCCATAACCCAGAAGTCTAATCTCTGCCGTAGGGATTCAGCCGGCGCCCTTTATCAACCTGATTAAGAAACGGCGAAGTTGAGGCTTTGTTATCTTATCCCCCACACCCAACCAGGCCTCAGTCATGATGGGCCAAGTCTAACTTCATTCTTGGTATCTTCCCTAGTGATACAGATGTTAGCCCTCCGCACTGGGCGTATCCAGGTACAGCTGTGCAGGGATTTGCAGCAGCGTGGTGCCACCTAATTCCTTCACGAGGCAGATAAGATGTGCTCGCTGCCAGGCTCCCTTAGAAATCGAATAGGAGCACTAGGCTATCCGAATTCAAGTCCCGAGCTTCCTTAGCAGGAACACGGAGGAGACCATCACGTCTCACACTACTTCTCAAATTAATCATTCTGGCCAGCAGCCAAGAAGGATTACTCCCAAGGGATGCATCTAGTTGCCTTCAGCTGAATGGAGGGGTGGAGCGAGACCCAGAACGAGTTAGGATTCGCCTCCCCCAAACTTGTATCTGAAGCAAAAAAAACAAGTCAAGCCGATGAAATAGGTCTGATGAAACATTTAAAGTCTCAACATTTCCCAGATAACTATGAAGAAAACAGGCAGTGACCAAGGCTTTCTACACAAAGGAACCACTTACAGTAGAGGAAGCTAAATAACGCAATACCCTGCACAGATGGGCCAGTTCATGCAAGTGCTGCGCGCACAATACTTGCAGGTAGACAGCATGGCAAGGGCTTTATGCTGTTATACTCAGCAAGATAATGCCACGATCAAAGAAGGCAACTTCTTTTGAAGTTCTAGGAAAGTAAGGCTGGAAAGGACCTCACGAGGTTCATCATCGAATCTGTCCTCCTGCTCCACGCTGAAGGAACTCGAGCAACAACTAAATAATTGGAGGAGGACTCATTCATGTAAAATGAGCTCACATCCGTAACATTTCAGGTAGAAGAAGGGATAACTGCTTCTAAAAAGCGGCTTCAGCTGCAGTGTTGGTGAGCTACAAGCTCGGCAGAGTAAACCAAGGAATACCAGGTAACCTGGCTAGCTTTCAGCTCATTGTTACTAACTCTGAAACCTGTGGTGCTACATATTCTCATCTTCTGCAGTTAAGGCAGTCTTTTCGTGGGCTGACAGCCGAGGAGAGGTCTGTCAAGGCACCTCAGTCCTGAGCCAGTAGCGCCCACTTGCGCTCCAGCCTAGTGCCCGTTCGCACAGCTCTGCCAACGCACTTCCACCACCGCCCGTCACGGCCTCCGACCTGGAGCTCTTCTGAGCAGACTCCTCCTGTTCAGATGAAGCAAATCTTTGCTCACTAATGGACAGCACCCCCTGAAACACTGAGGCCACTTAGTTCACTTTGCTTGCGACTGAAAACCTGATTGGCGACCTGATCAGTCTACTCAATGACAGGAGTGGAGCGGTCACTGACTGATGCAACGAGGACTTCCACTTACTTTGGACAGTTATTCACCCCTTCCCATGCACGACCCACTCAGTGTTTCCAAGCACTTTACTCAGAGGGCATTTACTCAGCAAGTTCACCAAAACATCTTTGCAGGACTACTTTGAGACAGGAACAGTGACTCGCTCCCCCACACCACTATACCATTTAAGCCCTAACAAATGCTGAACTGTGCATATGTAAAGCGGGACAAGTGAACGCGGGGCTTTTTTCCCCTTGAAGCATCCCTCTGCCATAAGGTTAGCAGCACATAATTACAATTCAGGAAGATGGCTTCTCATAAGAGAAATCCCCAGGAACAATGCATCAGTCACCAGACCCTATGCTTTTAAAGAAGAAGGAAAAAAAAAGCGGCTGATGTATTGACCTGGAGTCTCCATACAACCTCTATCCATCCCACGGGCCAGCACGTGCCGAGATCATTATTAGCACATCAAAAACTTCAGAAAACTAAAAGGGCTGAAAACCCACTCTATTTAATTTTTTGCATGAGGAAGCTAAAGGTTCATCATTATAATCCCAGCTGCGTCTCCACAACACGATACTGCGAAGTACATCTGCTCACAGTGTTGATTGGAGCCAGGCCACATTTCAGCCCCTGTTTTTCCAAAGCAGTAAACTCACCTGAGCAAAATGAATGATATATTGATAGATAAATCATGTCTCAAAGCAATACTGTAGTAGGGCTGGAGTGTTACGATTATCCAGGGAGTAGGTGAGAAGCGAAGGATTGTTTTCACTATACCTTTTACTGGACCAACTGTATAGTTGGGGAGAAAATAAGCTTTAGGGGGAAAGTGTGCAAAATACTGCACAACACTGTAGAAAGACTAGGCATGAATTATGCCTCTGTCAATTTGTGCATCAACCACGGTGTGGTGAGGGTCCAGAGATGCGAGAACTAGCAAGCAGAGCTAACTAGAAAGGAAAAAAAAAAGGAAGTCTCCCCCTTGGTCTAATTAAAGGCATCATTTCTACCACCAGTTCTGATTCCCATAATATTTTTTACTCGTGATTTTCTTTCCTTCTTATTTACAACGATAAAGTATTTGTGATGGGCTGTGCGCTAGCAGAGTTCTCAGAAGTGATCGCTATCTTGTTTGGTTTTGAAAAGCAGTTGCCAACTTATCTATCGGCTCTTTATTAAAAGGCTTTCTAGAATCCCAGGGATTTCAGAATAAAATGCTAGCTTGTTTTCAGATGGGGAAATGACATGTTTTGCAGCAAACGATTAAAAGCAACAGAACAGCAATGACCTTCTCCCTCCCTGGCAAGCTTATTAGACACATTAATATTAAAAACTTTTACTATTTTTCACTAGAGATAGCATGGAAGACTGGATGAGCATTTGACAAACTAACCCGAAAGTTGAGGACAAACCCCTTGCTATCGTGTTACTTTCCATGAATCACTGCGACACATACATCTTTCTTAAAACTCCTCCGGGAGAGGCCCTGCCGGCGGCGGGTATGACCACACTCTTGGCCGCAGTCTGGCATCACGACAAGTGAAAACAAAGCCGACTACAGGAAATCACCAGTGAAGCACTCAGCTCTGCAGGGGACCGAACTCTTGAGTTTTAAGGCTGCCTCCAATTTATAATAATAATTCCAACAAGTGTGCATGTAATCCAACAGTGAGAAGTCATTCGAGTCCTCCCAAAGGGGAAGCAGCCAATGATTTGTTAATTAAACAGAATTATTGGCAGTTAAAATGTGTGCAGAGACCAAACCTAGACCACTACCTGGTGGTAAATATTGGCCTTGCTCCACTCATCTTTTCACGTAGAAATTAAGCCTTAAATGATCCGATTGCCAGAAGTTACAATACAAAGCCAAGCTGTCCTCGGATGAGGCATACCATGCGCTGCTGGTTACTGTCACATCTGGAACGTCAATGCTCTGTGCAAATGTTACTGAACTGGGCACCCCGTCATGCAAGAGTTATATTACTTACAGGCATCTTACTTCTCCATTCAATGACTTCAAAAAGATTCCCAACCTTTGCTTCTGTGAGATGGCTAAAAAAAAATTTCACTATGCCTAGCCTAGCTATTACACCATGCTGCTTCTTCAAATTGAAGGTACTAGCATCGCTTGAAGATCAGCTGCCTTCATCCACTTAACCCATTGGCTCAGCCCATGCCTAGAATACAGGAAACCTTAGCGGTGACTGAGCCTCTGTATCTTAATCCTGAGCAAGGCATCTCCAAGAGCCCAGACAGCTTCCAGTGATCTGGCTGGGGTACTTAGTGATGAATTTCAGTAACAACTCAGCCCTTTTTATACCCTCCCCACAATTTTTTTTTTTTCTTTTTCCTTCCATGAAACAAAACTTCATTTGGAAAGATGGCTCATAATCTGTGTGCATTAAAAAGAGCACAGCCATCTGTTGACATGTTGTACTTGGTACAGCTGTGTCTGCAAACCAGCTTTGGAGCAGGCAATACAGAAGGCCACTACGCAGCGATTCGAGTTCGGGATTCTAATCCTCAAGCCGGACCCAAAGGCCTTAGGAAAACCTTATGCTATTTTGCAGTTAATTAGTATTTTAAGACCAGGTAGACAAAGCCTTGGCTGGGATGATGTAGTTGGGGCTGGACTAGATGCAACCCCCTGAGGTCCCTTCAACCTGAATTTCCTATGGCTCTGCGATGTTGCAGCATCTCACTTGGGGCACAGAGGCCATTTGCAACCTACAGAATCCTAGCAAAAAGAGCCCCTCTCCTAGTCCCATTATTTTCACACATGAAGGTCAGCAGCGGGGTCCCATGCCTATGAATTACGTTACCTTTACAGCCACGCTCTTCACCCCAGGAGTTTTCCACTCTCCATTTCTCAAACGTTCCTTCTTGTTCATCCTAGAACAAACACGCATGGTTAAACAGTTCAATGGCTGGCTTCATACGCCTGGTCACCAGCTCCGCTTCTAAAACCATTACCCCACCACCAGCACGACACTTGAATTCTCTTCTAGGACTCCATCTACCAGGTTACTTACGCTGGGCATCAAGCACGCGAGGGTTATTCCATTTCTAAAACCCGTCTGTCTAGTTCAAGTCATCATCCCATTAGTAGATAACAAGTGTTTTAACAAAACAAGAAAGTCACAGTCCCATTTAAAAACTCCGAGGACTTTGCTCAGGTACATTGCAAACAGTGGCTCTACCAATATCTCAGTCGAGATCCAACACCCAGCACGGTACTTGCTCCAAACGGAAAGCGTCTCTGAGCAGGTCTAGATGCACGACTAGCACAATGCCAACACAAGTGACCAAGGGGCTGAAGTTTATAAAACCAGTCCTTTTTCCTTGCAGCTATCTTGGCAACAAGGTGTGCCAAAACATTTGGTTTAATAGTCATAGCTTGGGTACATCACACCAGATACTTGGAACTGGGCATTTCTGGAAGGTTTTGGTAAAGGCCGTTGACTCAAATAGACAGGACAGCATTTGTGAACATTTCTAGAAGCCTGGTTACATTTTATAGTGTGGCTGGGTTTCTCCTTTCTTGCGACTAGCTAGATTTGAAAGATTTAAGCTATTGAAATACTTGCACCCGTCAGAAATAAAATACCAGCTTGTTTCAGTCTATTCTAGATACACCTATAAAAAAAATAAATCACTGTTCGTGCAGGGTTGTGTGGTGTACAGTAAATCATTAGACAATGAAAATAGTTCAGGGAGAACAAGATTTCCTGTTTCGGCACAGCCCACAGCTGGGGGGAGGCAAGCTCATTTTTGCATTCAGAGGAGATGAAAGTTTGTGGACTTGTCTGGACCGATTTGAACACGTCACGTGAACAAGTGGCCGTGGCCCCACGCATAGTGTTTCATTACAGAGAAACCTTTTCTAATTAAAACGCACGAGAGGTCTTGTGCCCCTCTCCACGCCCCAGCGTTTCCTCCCGACAGACGAACATCGTCTCAGTCGGGAAGAAACACGGGGGCTTGCTAGTGGGAGGGGCTGTTATTCTGGCGAAACGCTTTTCCCGTCTGCTCTCTCAACCTAGAAGGCCTCTTCCCACATCGGCAACAGTGCTGCAATTCAGCTGGAAAACACAGGAGCTTCTTACTGTGCTTTTCTCACTCCAACCCCATCCCATCTATTAGCATCTTGGCCCTTCAGTGAAGGGATGCCTCTCTCCCCCCTCACACAGCACCAGCTTTGGTCTTCAAGGTCTTTTCTTCCCAATGGGAATATGCCAACTTTTGTATCACTTCTTTATTTTTAAAAGGCTCACCAAAGTCTGCAGACTTTTGCAGCCTTCATGTGGCTCCATGCCTGCTTTCTCCTAGAAAAAATTAAGCCAGTTACAGCCCCACAGAAAACGACAGATCGCTATTTCCACACGAACGCTGCAAGTGGTCTCACCACCAGGCACCCTCCCATGAGCTTCTGTTTCCGTGCGCATATCAAGCCTGTAGAAGCCCTGGGAAGAAAAAACTGCTTTATCTGCTGGCTATTTCTAGATGCAGTGCTGCTGCTCTGTCCTTCCCCATGAGACTATATAAATGCATGCTTTTTCCTTTCCTCTGATATCTCTACTTCTATCATGTAAATCACTAACAAGAAAAGATAACTGGTCTTTGAAAAACTTCTTACTCATCTATCCTTTGATAGCGAGATACCTACTGCTAGTGTGGCTAAGTTAAATTGGAAGAGATAAGAATAAAACGTTAAAGAAAGGAAAAAAAACAAACAGCCTTTAAAAATATGATACTCGATCTCTACCAAAGGAACTAAACTGAGCCCGTTCTCAACTACTTTCTGGCATATAAAAACTGGGTTGAACAGAGTTAATCCATGTCCATTTATAATCCATGTCAAATGTGCCTTTTAAAAGAAAAATTACATTGTAAAATTGAAAGCAAAAGATAAAGGAAAATCCCACTGCAATCAAAAACCTTTTACACAACAGGTAAAAAATAAATAATGCTTCAGTGGATTTACAACTGCCTATCAAAGCTCCTTCAGATTAAGTTAGGGCTTATAAATGACATGTTTGGACATAAATTTTGGACAGGGAAAATGCCTTCGCATTCTGGGCTTTTTCTAGTGTGAAAGAGGCACTACTGCTTCATAGTTTCATAGTTTTAGGGTCGGAAGGGACCTAATGGATCTTCTAGCCCGACCCCCCGCCAGGGCGGGAGAACAACAAAAGAACCCTAAAAACAAAAACCGGACTCAAATGAGTCCAGCCAGGTAGGTATCCAGCCTCTTCTTAAAGATCCCCAGGGTAGGGGCCAGCACCACCTCCCTTGGAAGTTGGTTCCAGCTCCTAGCCGCCCTAACTGTGAAGTAGTTTTTTCGGATGTCCAATCTGTACGTCCTCTCCATCAACTTGTGCCCATTACTCCTTGTTATGCCAGCGGGGGCTAGGGGAAACAGCGTCTCCCCCAAACCCTTCTGGTTCCCCCTAGTGAGTTTATAGACGGTCACCAGGTCCCCCCTCAGCCTTCTCTTGTGGAGGCTGAATAGGTTCAAGTCCCGCAGTCTCTCACTGTAGGGTCTGCCCTGTTGTCCCCGGATCATGCGGGTGGCCCTCCTCTGGACCCTCTCCATGTTGTCCACATCCCTCCTGAAATGGGGCGCACAGAACTGGACACAATACTGCAGCTGCGGCCTGACCAGCGTCACATAGAGGGGGAGGATCACCTCCCTGGCTCTACTCGAGATGCACCTGTGGATGCACGACAAGGTCCGGTTAGCCCTGCCAACCATGACCTCGCATTGTCGGCCCATGTTCATCTTGGAGTCAATAATGACACCAAGATCCCTTTCCGCCTCCGTGCTCTCAAGAAGGGAGCTCCCCATCGTATAAGTGTGCTGCTGGTTCCTACTACCCAAGTGCAGCACCCTGCACTTGTCCGTATTGAAACGCATCCTGTTCCTGTCTGCCCACCCCTGTAACCTATCCAGATCCTTCTGCAATCTCTCTCTCCCTGCTAGCGTGCTCACCTCCCCCCAAATTTTGGTGTCATCAGCGAATTTAAACAGGTTGCTTTCCACCCCAGCATCAAGATCGCTGATGAAGAAATTGAACAGCGCTCCCTGGAGGAGCTACCCTGCGCAGCTCCCTCGCGCCCGCCTTACGCGAACGCCGGCGCAAACGCCGGTTGCGCACTGCTTTTAAGTGATCTCTTGGTTGTCAAAGTACCATCTGCCATGTTCCTCCAGACCACGATCAAATCCCGTTCGGTTTATGAGCACGTGGAGGTTTTCACTTCACAAGCCTTCCTCGTTCGTCAAAATTCGGAGCGAAGTGACAGCACGCCAGAGCCCTGATCATGTAGTCTCTCCTCTGGTTTATTTTACTGCAAGTCACAATTTCAGCAAATACTACAACTTGGGGCTCCGCAGCGACCTGGCGCTGTAACGTCTTCATCACCGGTGGAGGTGGCAGTCGGGCACTACCGATTTGTGCGCATCTTACTGGATACTTTAGTGCCTCCTGCTGGTAGTTCAGGCAGGTTTAATAGCACGTATGTTTGGTGCCATAAAAAAACCAAGATTTGATTAAGCAGCAGAACATAGAGAAGGCTACCTATTATAGTGGACTCTCTGCTTAGGAAGACCGATTAGAATCCACATCCCATTTAGATCCATCTAAATTGCATTTTCAGGTTTCAGAATATACAAGTCAAATTGCTGCCTTCTTTTTAAAAGGGATATCTAGGCAGGATGAAGCTATGCCTGCCCCTTGTCTAGAATTCTTCTCTCCGTGGTAAGGTAATATTTTCAGTTTTTCCAAGCCCTCGCACGGGCCCAAGCAACTCGGGTAAACCCCAGACATTATGCACAACTGCGACGTCATGATCTCATACTGACCTTTCGCAGAACAACCTATGCATTATGAATGAGCCTTGAGCACACAAACAGACCACAGGAAAATTCAAATACATCTGTGCAAACACCACGAGCGCTTGTGGAAGGGATCATACCTTGTCTGTGACGGCAGTGAGGACCATGGCATGGGTCATCAGAGACTCTCCAAACAGCAGCCGCTCTGCTTTGTTCATGTTCTTGACAGAGACGCCGAACACCAGGTCATGATTAAATCTATAAGGAAGCCATACACACGTGGGCATGAATACGGACGGAAGGAACAGCATTTTTATTATAAACAGGAGGTGCGTATAATAGCATCCAGCAGGATGGAGTGGAATGCAGTGTAGCAAGCAGCGATGCACCGCAAGGGACCCGGGGAATCTCCGCTACTTCGAAACATCTCAGCTAGCATAAATGCAAAGCACAGACGCCTTTAGGAATGCCACTCACTAGATGCTAGACAATGGGGGAAATGCACAAGCTCAATAAAGGAGCTGTTGTCGAGTTGCCGCACAGACATACATCTGTCCAGAGCTGCATCCCCTTCCTTTCTGTCTGGGCACAGAAGATGTTCAGCTACCTCTCCTTGAATACAGGAATATTTTATATCAAAGAAGGGGAAGCGCACTTTAATGAAGTTTCAACATTTCAGGTAAAAAGCAGAAAAAGAAAGGAGGTTCAAAAACAAAAATACAAGTCTATGCTACCCAGTCATCTTTGGGTACAAAGCCATTTTTGGAAACAGCTAAAACATTGATCGCTTTAGCACTTTCATTCGTTAGCCTGATTTTCAGAGAATTGTTTTTTATTTTAGTTTCCTACACTTACATATTCATGTCAATGATGCCCAGCTTTCCATGGAAATGTTTTGTAATATCACAGCCAAACCACACAGCCTAAAAACAGAAGGAAGAAGTCACACCTGGGCACTATCCCAACATAGCTGTACACCACAAAAGACAGAAATACCATGCTACCAACTGGAAGAAATCAAACAAACCTCGCCGTCTTTAATGGAAGCCGCAGCCAGCCTTTTCAAGAGATCAATGGGCTGGTTGTTGTAGAGGGTTTTTCTGCCGCCCAGCATGTTGCCCAGGTAGTCCACAGTGTAGAGCCTGCTGTACTCGTTCTGAGGTCGAGGATCATTCACAAGGCAAACCTGCCGTGATCAAGATTGCAAAGCGAGTTACGCATCTACTCAAAGAAACAACTAACTCTCAGAAGGGAGTACTTCTGCTCTAGCTGACTGAGCACTATGTGGCCCAAGAGAGCTTTGGCTGGACTACCAGAGTACAGAAGACAGTCTCCGGGCTAGTAAGTGCATCTCAGCTGCTACACAGGATCTTCTTTTTTTTTTTTAAATACAAGTCCATGGCTGAGTAAGCTGTGCACTGTTCCTTGTCCTGTCACAACTTAATCACAAAATACCTTGCCCAAATTAACGCAAAACCACCTGAAGGGCAAAGAGCAAATGCTAAAAATGCAGAACCAACTTTGCCTTCACTAGGAGCACTTATTCATCTAAACCCACGTCCCGCAGTCTCAGGTGTACAAACCCCACTTCTGTAACAGAGCACAGGACGCTATATTTAACAGTAAAAAGGTGTCTGGTGTTTTGGGGCATTGCACCTGGCAGTCACGCGAGAGGGCTGCTCATGCACTTATTTGTATGGGGTGGCTTAGATAGGGACGATCCCATCTTGTGCAGGGGGCTGGACTAGATGCGACCTCCTGGTTCTCCCAACTTCTCTACAATCCTGTGACTCAAGACAGCAGCTCCCGTATTCGCCAACCTTATCTTCCATGTTGAAGAGCGGCTTGACGTGCTCCTGGTAGAACTCCAGTGGCGTCACAGGGCCGATCTTGTGATAGTTTTTCTCCTTATCTCTGAACTCCCAGCAGAAGGTGTCCGGGGGGCTCCCCAAGCAGATGCTGACTATTCTGAAGACCTGCAGAGGACAGCAAAACAGCTCTGAAAATTCACCTACACCAGTGATGTGCATGATGTTATATAGCAGGTGTTAAAGACATGCTGCAAGTCAACTGATACCTTCATGTAGGAACCAGGTGCAGAATTGAGACCCAAACGGCTCCATGCTTGACCGCTCGAATAAATCTTTTGCCAGTCAGTTCTCTACACCCCATTCCCCAAGTCTTCAAAGTCAAACTAAAGGCTACACAGCTAAGAACTTCCTCCCCATGCTGAAAGACATCACTGATTCCCCCTTGGAGGCATGTTGTTTGCCAAAGACCTCCAGGTCGGACACTAATATTTTAAATTCCAAGCTGGCCAGGAGGAAAAGATGTCCAACACAGCTGAGCTAGAGCACTGCCCAAACTTTAACCCTAGCAAAGCCAGAGAAAAGTGAAACAGTAGTGGTATTTACACTGCGCAGTAACAAGAAAAGGACACACACATTACAATTTACCTTGAGGAATCTCTTTCTGCTAAAGGCTGGGGGAGAAGAGAAATACGGTCAAGGCAGTTGCCACCTTTCAGGAAAGCTTCCCCATTACAGCACATGCAAATATTGTATGGGAAGCTGCTTTAGTAGTGCACAGCTTGTGCCGTGCATGCAGTAACCCAGCTTTTCCTAGCATGTGTGCACGCACACACAAGTTCCTCCTAATGTTACACAGCCACCAATTCCCTTTCCTTCTGCAACATGGATTTGTATTTCAGAAGCAGTTTTACGGTCTTTGGAAGTTCTACAATAAAAGTCTTCTTGCATCCATTTGAATGTGGTTAACAAGATCTGGTTTTAGGGATAAACGATGCAGGCTATTTGAGAGGCACGGGCTGCTCATTGCAAGAGTCTTGGTGGCCGACGTGATTCTATTAATTTCTATTACATAGTGTTTCTCGACTTAGATTTCAAGCCGATTCTATCACTTTAAGTCAAATTCTTTTTAAAACACAGGGTTCAGGGGGCCCTCCCCCGCCTTCCCACTGTGCTTCATGGGATGCGTTAGTTTTTAGGCAACGTCCAGCCAAGATGACCTGAACTTTGTGGAGAGAAGGAAGCCAAAGACTGCAGTATTGGTTAAAATACTGTTTATCTTAAAGTCTTCAATTCATTTTACTTCTAGCCCCAAATTCCAGAAGCCCTGCGGCTCCGTGTTCCTCAAGTGCAATTTCAGTCTTGTTCGCTAGAGGGAACCCACACGCGAAGCTTTTAGCAGGGGATCAGCCTCCCATGGTCTGAACTCCCTCGTGCAGAACCACCCGTTTTGTCCTCCCGGACCCTGCCCCAAGGTCCAGGCTAACAACCTTGGGGCCCCTGTCCGTCTCCTCACCCCCTGCCCTCCCTAGATTAGGAGGAAACTGCACATTTTTGGAAACGACTTCAACTTCCTCCTCCGTGGAGCGAGCCAGGCTAATTCATAACCATCACAGGCCTTGGCCCGTCCCAGCAGGCTGTATGAGGATGAGTGGCTAAGTCGGCATCCCTGGACTACCCCATACCTACAGCTGCTTCAGGACTCGCGCTGGCCAGGTTTCTTCCTTCCAGTGCCAACGGCAGTTTGCTGGAAGCATCATGTTTCCCTTTTCAGCTCCATGAAATGCCTAAACTTAAGGGCAGAATCTCGTTTGACTTCCGCGGAAACAACCGCGTTTCTAATTTGTTTTCTGACTTTGTGCCCCATTCTGGAGGTTTAGATGAACACCAAAACGATACCGCCTGCAGAGGGGGAAGATGGCTGCATCTCACACCAGCCTACTGTAACTATTTTGTGCGTCTGCACTGTCCCACAATTAGCGGATGGTAAACTGCAATCATTTAGGTGTTGTATTCCAGTGTAAACTGCCCTCGTTTAGCTTCCTTTACCATGGACTAGTGGCGCGTACAGAAGTGACGGTGGATCAGCGGACACCTTCAGCAGTGATGAGTCTTATTCTCCCTTTAAAGCGACACTAGATTTCAATCCCTAGCCTGGGGGGAGTGCAGGGGTTTGGGTTTATCTGTGCTCTCCTTACCAGACGGACTTTTAGCTTTACACCTCATGCCAGCCAGTCTGACGTCGAGCGAGCACTCCTGTGTTACACTACCTACCCTCCAACACAAGCAACTCCTCAGGGCAGCAGAAACGTCCAGGGAAAAAATACTAGAAGAGATTAATTTTAAGAGGAAACAAGGGCGTGGGCTCATGTTTTTACTGGATGAATTCACACATGTAGTTTTTACAGAACATGTTTTTTTTAATAAAAGGTTTTAAGAGGGAAAAAAAATAAATAAATCCCTGACCTGCTATAAATATTGGATTCTCACACAGATTATGTTTGCACAGAGATAACATTTGCCAGTGGACATTTCCACTTTGCCTCAGATGGCCTAGATTCGCAACCACCCGGGATTACAGAAATAAAGCAGCCAGCGGAGAAGGTCCAAAAGGAAAGCAGCGGGCAAAGCGGTTCCAACCAGAGGAAGGAAAATGATGGAGACAGAAATCTCAAGTCAGCAGAAGCAGAAAGGTCTCCCCGTCTTGTTTTCCACCACACCCACCATAGACCACCCCGTAATCTCTCAAAGGCTTCCTTCCCAGGGGAAGCTTATTTCAACTCAACAGTGCTTTATAATCACTCCAGTGATAAGTGTGCTGGGGCTCTTTTGTTAAAAACTAGACCGGGGTGAGGAGGGGAAAAAGAAGGAGCACTACTGATAAGGCAGAGTCCACAAAAGAAAAAAAAAAAGAGATTGAATTTTTCTGGCTTCAGTGCTATCATCTAAACTGTGGTGACGTAAGCCTCTGACCTATCACACACCACTTTGATAAGGTGCCTTTTTGTGCTGGGACAGGCTGACCACCAGACATTCAGTATTCACACCAAAAGTGCACAAACAGCTCTGCTGAAGCTCCAGCATTACTGCCCAGAAGTAAATGGAGGCAGACAACTGTGCAAATCGACTTGCAGGAAATTAGACCCATTCCTAAGGTTTCTGTCTTGTCACATGAAGCTTTAAAAACTTTGGCATCCAGGCACATTCAGATGCATAGGAACAAGTGAAGCAAAATAACAACCTGAAAGAGTAAGACAGGTGCAGCTGGGCAATGCTAGTCGCTGAAAGGAAACCAGGCAGCTATTTAGTGCTGAAACAGGAAGAGCTGGGGTAACACTCAGGAATAAACAACCTTTTATAGTTTCAAGATTCAGACAGAACTAATGAGCCATTAATGAGCTCTGCTTCCAGGGTCCAGCCCTAAAAACTTATACTCTAAACAAAGCAAGGAGGGGGAAAAAGAAAATCAATGGACTACAGCGCTTTGCCCTATCTGACTCAACCAAACCAATTCTGAGAAACTACGTATTCTGCAACAGCTTCCAAGACGCATAGTTTAACAATGGGAATTATGTTAATGGCCCATTAACCCACAAAGTACAAAGTTGCAGTGTTGATAAAGTTAGAGCCAAAGATCAAAAACTTGTGCAAGTAGAACAAAGAATAAGGTAACAGGAAGAAGGAAAATTCAGGGAACATTAATTAATGCTTTGCATAAGGGCGAGGCATATTATGCTGTATTATAACCTCATGAAACAAGCAGCAAATCCACCTCCATTGGGAGGTGCAAAAGCTAGACTGCAAAATGCTATTGAACACACCCCTAGGAAATCCCACAGCAGCTGGATTTGGAAGAGGCCTACAGCACCATCATCTCATACCAGACCATAAGGATAGCGATACCCCCAAACTTGTCAAAACAGAAAAATACAAGAAGCCTCTTTCTTTAAAAAAGAAGAACCTTAACACCAACCTTAGCATCCCATGAGCAATAAGTGCTGCTTTAAAATCATCCTTGGAAAAAAAAAAAAATCAGAAAACTTAAAGAGAACAGAGTAAGCTGGCTTAGCATGCAGCCGTGTTCAACCCAGCAATATACAGTGAAAGCTCCAGCAGTTTAGCTCGCTCATAGCATCACAGGAGCACACAGATGTAACCGTGACCTCTTAAGAGCTGATGGATGTGCTAAAACAGTTCCCTTCCCTTTCCTCTTCTAAAGGAGGTGAACATTACATTTGTCCATAGTGTTAGTTTATTTAAAAGTTAACGCACCCAGTATTTGGACAGCCTAGCTGGCTTTCCTAAAGCAACTCATTTTCTTCACTGATATGGAAGAGTGGCACATATACCCCCCTGATCTTGTCTATGTGCTAATGCAAGGCAGCTTGAACTTGCTTTGGTTATTCTCTTCTGCTCTCTCGTGGAGAACTTCTGCAACAACACACTGCGCAAAACTTCTCAGCATCACCTTGGCAGACAGAACACAGTTCAGCTCATCCAGCCCGTGTTCATGATGCCAGGCGCTGCATGCACTGGTTTTAGCCCCCGTTAAAAACTGCAATGGCTCGATTGTGTCATGTAATAACTGGGCTTAATGAGGTTAGCAGAACAGGTCTTCTGCTAATAGTAAACTAATCACAGCTCTGGGATCCGCACAGGAATATCCAAATGCAGCAGCACTGCAAAGACGGGCTTGCGAAGGGAGACGCCCACCAAGTGCCCTAGCAGCACGTAGGGAAGGGATGCCCATCTGTCACTACTGACACACGGGTATCAGTCGGTGACAGCTCCAGGCACCACCCTGCTGACACATCACACCTACTCTGCACACGCACACCAATATCCCTGTCGAGGCAGAGATTCCTGGCATGCAGCAGTACAAGCTAAGGCAGCTACACCGCCCAGCTCAGGAGACCGTATGTGTGCAGGTGCACGTCTCAGCACGGCAGTGCCTGGCACCACAACTAAGCAGTACAGACATACCCCATTTGTTTTTTGCGTCGTAAGAGGGATTTCCTTTGCATGGTCCAGATAACTCTGGAACAAGAGCAAGCCAGAACAACCTCATCTACTGCAACCCCTTCCTGACGGAGAGAATCAGGTTATAAAATATTACCTCCTCTATCATAGTATCCATTGCAGCAGCAAGTTCTCCCTTAGTTGAATCGCTCGCTACCATGTTTCTTAGCCGTAAACAGTACTCTCTCATCTGTTAAAAATAAAAATTAAAAATTAAGCCATTTCACATTTGCAAAACAATCAAAGTATCAGTTGAGCAAGTCAGCATATAAGAGGTCAGAACTCTACGCTGCAGGTGCAGACATCTGTTTTTAGACATTACCAAAAAAAGATGCGACAAAACTGTTACGTTAAAGAAAGAACCTAATGTCAAGCTTTATAACATTTTGGAAAAGATCAACAAAAATGTTTTGCCACGGAAGCAAGCAACAGCTCTTCCATCTACCAGTCTGCAGGGGTCTCGGTTGTCAGGAATTTCCCAAGACTACGTTCTGCTCAATAGTTTACCGGAACAGACACAACGATATCCAGATCTTGCAACACCATCTCTGCGGCTTGCAGAAAGTGACCTACATCTTCATATTTATTCATATATTTATTTTGCAACTCTTGCATAATTGATCTTTTCAAATTAATGTATATATTGCATCATTTTCCTGTGGTGGTGAGAATCAAGGGGAAAAGACCAGGTGCCAAAAGTTACTGTCACCACCCTTCGGAGCAGGAAGCACTAAAGGCTTCCCCACAGCTGGCTGGTTTACCAGGGTCCAAGCTCAAGACTGGAACAACCGGAGCAAGCCTGAAGCACGCAGCCTCAGCACACATTTTATTACAACCTCCGTTGTACAGGTTTCAAGGGATGCATCTCCGAATTCAAAATTCAGAGTCAGAAAGGAACAGAAAGGCTTTGGGCAAGTCTTCAGCTAAAGTGAAGTCGTACACTGCCAAGAAGTCCTATCACTGGACTCCCATGTCTCTCTCACTTCAGCAATTCAGTGAGCAATAATGGATCTTTCTTCTGATCATATCCTTTTACTACGC